TTCTTGGTTCTGGGGATGCAGGATAGACTTGGACCAGAACACCTGAGTGGTCTGGAAGGTTTATACGTCAACAACTGGTTTTTATAGTATTACATGCTAAGCCATTCAGTGATTTATAAACTGAATACAAAAATACTGTAAAGTCTACTTCCCAAGATACAGGGAGCCAGTGGAAGGACTTTAGCACTGGGGTGATGGGATCTAGATTACAAGAGGCTAAAATATGTAGCAGGTAATAACATTCTATATCTAGTGAGGCACGTTACACTTTATCTATTTGTGCATGTGTGTGTATGTGTGTGTGTTCATGTGAGTCCATTTGTGTACAAAAAGAATATGAAAGGCAGCAGTGCAGCACACAACTGGGCAGTAACAGACAAATACTCTGATTTATGCGTATATCTGCGTATCATTTGGACATATACTGTAATATTGCTGCGGTTCTGCACACTCATTAAATGGCACATACACCAGACACAGCATGACCATTAACAAGACTTGTAGTTGATGCTGATCATCACTTTAGTGCGGTCTCCATTATCTCATGCGCTGTTGCTTCGTCCCTTGTTGTTTATCACCCTACCAGCTCCAGCCTATATTTAGATGTTCAGCCTCCCCTTCCCCACTTATTTTAGTTTGTTGCTCTTAAACCGTTTATCACATTCGCTTTCCTTTGTATGTATGGAGAGCCTCTAAATTCAAAATTAAAGTGTTGCTAAAAAAAATCATTAGTATATATTCTATTAAATAAATACATGTTCCAAAGACAGTAAAATGTTCCTAAATAAAGTGTTTATAGACTTATTTTTTATTTTAAGATTTATTTATTTAGTAACATATTTTCCGAACTATAAGGCGCACTCTCAATTATGGCGTCCATTTCTGTATTTAACCCAAATGTAAGGTGCACCAGGTTATAAGAAGCATGCTAAAACATACGGTCAAAAAAAAAAGGTAAGGGAAACACAACAGTAAGTTTAGTTGAACTTTATTCGACTATGTAACAATACACTCAGGTTATTTTTTATTCTTCTTCCAAAAATCCATCAAAGTCCTCCTGTATCTTAATTGAACAGCTGGGAAATTTTGCCATAAAACATGCCAGGTTCCCTCTTATCATTGTCAGAGTCAGTCTCGTTGCCGGGTGGCTGTTCAGCAATGATGCCGGCTTTCGCGAAAGCTCGCTCAACAGTTAAGGCAGATACATTAGCCCAGGCATCCATAATCCATTCACACAAGGTGGTGTAACTCGCCCGGCGCTGCCTCCCCGTCTTAGTAAACAGACAGACTGTGTGTTCGCAGTCTGTCATCCATCACTCCCACACCGCTCGCAACTTCTTTTTGAACTGTTTACACCAATGTCCAGCGGTTGGAGTTCTTTTGTTAATCCTCCCGGAATGACGGCAAACTCCAAATTAGTTTGCTTCACTTCCTTTTTCACAGTAGCAGTGAGATGGGCACGCATGGCGTCGCAGATGAACAGGGACGGTGATGAGTTGAAAAACTTGTCTGGTTTTTACTGGAGGCCTATGCTGCAGAACTCGGACAACAATTCTCTGATTGGTTTATTGCTGCTGACGTACGTACTTTACATATTACGTAATGTCCTCTGATTGGTTTATCGCTGCCATCGTACGTACTGTACACTTTACGTCTCTGTGTCAGGGACAGATTTTTCAGTGCACACATAAGGCGCACCAGATTATAAGGCGCACTGGTGATTTTTGAGAAAATGTAAGGCTTTTAGGTGTGCCCTATAGTCTGGAAAAGGTGCAATTGAACGGGGAAGAAGTAGAGCCGAACACTGGGCTCTTTACAGGCTGATGCAAGTTGAATAAAGGAGCTGTCAGCTTAATGGTATGATAGCAAAAGAGAAAATAGTTTTTTTAAATTATGGAACATGCGAAGTGTCAATTTTCTCATTTTGATGGAGAATATTAGCATCAATTAGCCAGATTTACCAAAGTAACTGGTAAATCCTCATATGGGAGCCTTCTGTGTATGGAAGGAGGAAATATAGAGATGTCAGAGTTTAAATCAGTTTTATTTTTCTGTTTAAAGACTGACTGATCTATTTGATTAATTTCTTACATCATCAGATTATTTCACATAACATTTCATATTATAAATGAAATATTTCACCGGTGGAACTAGTACTTGTTTTAATCAATATTAAGGAATTATTTACTTAAACAAGCTTCTATATCTTGCTCAAAAGTTGCTTATTAATCAGTTTAGTCTTATTTTAAGTGTACTAAGATATTTTCACTAGAAACTGGACAAAAAAATACTTGGTAAAATTTTGCCTTCAAATGATACAAATTCAACTTTACTGATCCCAAAGGGAAATTAAATATTGTTATAACTCATATGGATTTGATTAATGATAACATTACCCAAACCATGAATTTCAGTAATTAAATTCAAACTAATCAAACTCAATTTCTTAGAAAATAATCCTAAATAATAACTAATTAAAATGGATTTTAAACACAGAAATAGTCTAATTATGGTAAGGCTGAACAATATTACAATATCATGAAATAAGCGTCTTTATCAGTCTGTATCAATACTTTTTTATTAGTTTTTCTGTTTTAAATATTTGGAATACTTTCCTGTTTTATCCATAGTTTTCACACCACAATGTTTTTTTTTTTTTTTTAATATTTCTAAGCAATTATGAGGAATGTAACTTCAAATTACAGCTCATAATTGCCACCCATAGACAGACAGTAAAGGCATATCATACATTTTCTGACTCCTTAGAGTCTGTTATTTTAGTTGTTAACTCTTGTGTCCCTGATGTCCCTGGACACCACTGGGATAAAAGAAATGTATCTAGTTTGGTCAAAAGGTGTGGAAAAATGTGTATTATTTTTGTTTAACGAGCTCTAGCGACCTCTGTGTTGGTCAGAGAAACTCAAAACCTGGTTTAAATGAAAGCCAAGAGTGTCCCCTTTAAGAATATACCAAACACTATATTATAAACCTTTGACAAATGCCCATACCATGAGCCTAAACCAGACATACATCAATCTCATAAAACTGAATTTTTCCAAAGGGGTTGTTTACTTCATGAGCTGATAACTATGACTCAACTACCACTTTGGAAGGGCTAACATACCAAAATATTAACTAGAGACATGTAACTTTTCAAAAAATATCGATAGATTTTGCCACCCTGAAATGGACATAAATGTCAAATTTTGGCCTCTGGCCCATGGACTAGCATTCATCTGTAAAATTTGTTTTTATTCAAACTTCAGCAGTTTTCTAGTTGTTCTGCTGAGGTAGTGACATCAATTTGTGACATCACGCAAATTGATGTCACAAAGAGAACAGAGAACAAAGAAAACAGAGCTGTAATGTCATAACCATTGCAGAAGTCGCAGAGCAAGAGGAAGGAGTGTCTCCTAAGAAGATTTTGGATTTGTCGAGACGACAAACTTCAGCTACAGACACAGAAGCTTCAAGCCATCTTGAAAGAAATATGTCGATGGAAAGTAAAGACCTCATGAAAGAACACGAGGATTTGAAGCTTGAAATCAAAAAGCTTCTTCAAAAAAACAATGAAAGCTTCAAAAGACTTTTTGAAGAAAACAGATGTTTGAAGGAGCAGAACACCACCCTGGAGAAGGAAAAAACCACCCTGGACCAGAAATGCACTGCCCTAGAGAAGGAAAAAACCATCCTGGAGCAGAAATGCACTGACCTGGAGAAGAAAAATACCACCCTGGAGCAGAGAAACACCATCCTGGAGCAGAGAAGCATCGCCTTGGAGCGAGTAGATGCAGTTTTGGAGCAGGCAAACGCCACCCTGGAGCAGGATAATGCCTCCTTGGAACAGGAGAAAGTCATCCTGAAGGAGAAAAACAACGCCTTGCAGCAGAGAGGCACCGTCCTACAGCAGGAGAACAGCGCCCTGAGGCTGAAAGTCACTAACTTGGAGAAGGAGAAGACTAAATTGGACCAAGAGAAGACCGTCTTGGAGCAGGTAGATGACCTTTTGGAGGAGGCACACGCCTACCTTGAGAAGAGTAACGCCGCCTTGGAGAAGGAGAACACTGCCCTGAAGAAGAGAAACATCGCCTTGGAGGAGAGAGGTACCACCCTGGAGCAGAACATCACCACCCTGGAGCAGAAGATCACCACCCTGGAGCAGAACATCACCACCCTGGAGCAGAAGATCACCACCCTGGAGCGGAACATCACTACCCTGGACCGGAACAACAAAGTTTTGAAGAAGGAGAACACACAACTGGAAGACGATAAAGCCTCCCTGAAGGAGGAAAACAACATGCTCCGCCAGGCAAAGAACGCCTTGGCAGAGGAAAAAAACGACCTCCAGCTAACTTGCATCGGCCTGCAGCACAGAAGCGTCGCCTCCGAGCAGGAAAGAAAAGTCTTGGAGCGTGTAAATACCAACCTGCAGCTTGAAGTGGATCAGCTGAGCCAAAGGCTGAGGGACTCAGAGGAGAACGAGGATCTATCTGAAGAGGAAGCCGACGAAGACAACCAGCCGTTTTCAGACCAGCCTCAGGAACAGCCACCTATATTCAGACGTATGGTCAGAGGTTTCACCAGGACACTTGTGAGAATGTGCCATACAGTCAATCTCAGGCACTGAGTTGAAGCATGGTAATTCTAAATAAAGTGTCATGAGGCCTCCAAGCTTCATACTTGATTGTCGGTGGCAGAAAAGCTTGAGGACAACAGGACTACGGTGTCAATGGAGCTTGACAGTTGGGGGCTGACCTCCAGGGCTTCGTGGTGAGTCCCGTTGGTCTCTCGGCTGACCTCCAGGGCTTGTTACGAGTCCTATCGGTCTCCCGTCTGACCTCAAGGACTTTGTGGCGAGTCCCTTTGGTCTCTCAGCTGACCTCCAGGGCTTTGTTGTGGGTCCTGTTGGTTTCCTGGCCTGCCTCCAGGGCTTTGTTGTGGGTCCTCTTGGTTTCCTGGCCTGCCTCCAGGGCTTTGTAGCGAGTCTTGTCAGTCTCCTCGCCGACCTCCAGGGCTTCGTGGCGAATCCCGTTGGTCTCCGAGCTGGGCTCCAGGGCTTCGTAGCAAGTCCCACTGGTCTCTTGGCCTACCAGCAGGACATGCTACGAAGCCCTGGAGGTCAGTCCAGAGACCAGCGGGACCCGCAACGAAGCCCTGGAGGCAGGCCGGGAGACCTATAGGACCCGTAACAAGTCCTGGAGGTCAGCCAGGAGACCAACGGGACTCACCACGAAGCCCTTGAGGTCGGCCGGGAGTCCAACAGGACTCGACACGAAGNATATTAAAAATAAAAAATTTTTTATTTCTCAAATATTTGCTTTTTTTTTCCCAAATTCCTGTTTTCCTTTAAAAAAAAAAAAAAAAAAAAAAGTTAAACCTTCACAATAAAAATCCCACAACTGTCGGTTCTCTCCGACGCTGCAGCAAAAGCAGGGTCATTATCTGGTCGACGCAGTAGTCTTTTATCTAAGCGCCTGTCAGCTCAACATTGCCATCTAGCGTTTAGAAGAAGAAGCGCTGGATTCTTTTTTTTTAATGTAAAACTTCATCCATTCGGGAATGATTCATGTTTGCGTCCCTCGACAAAGAAAAAAAAGAACTATTGTTTCAAATTCAAATTCAAAATTACGTTATTAATCCCAAAGGGAGATATTATTAATTATTATTGTTATTATTAACTTTTGTTAAGTGATTCGCTATGAATATATGACATAAATTAAAGGTTTTCACGGAAGTCAACTATACAAGCGAAATCCATTTGAAGAGAAACATTTTTAGTAAATCAGGTGACGGTCTCCACATCTGATTTGTCCTCATTGTAATCAATAATTGTACTAATACTACAACAGTTACTTTTAAACATTTCCTGACAATAATGTATTCATAATAAAACTCGGTGGACTTTTTAAATGGACTTTTTAAAAACTACATTTAGTTCAATTAAATTTAAAAATATCTAATTTTGAAAGGCAATTTCCGTTTCAACCTACCACGCATGCGCTCTCCTGCTAACCAACAGCGGTAGTGACGACAAAAATGGCGTGCTCCGCTAGCCGGCTGTCAACACGCTTGTTGGGAGCTTCTGCTTCACCTGGACCTTTCTCCGGGCTCCTCCTCGTTGTCCCAAGCAGACATGGAAAGGCTCTTCACCCGGCAGTCTTGCACCCTCACCGGGGACGGATAGCAGTCAGTCTGAGCTCCTGGGCTCCCCGTAGCGTGGTGACATTGAGGGCTCTGTCAGGTGAGAGGAGTTACCTAACTCCAAACAAAACAGTGAGAGAGTGAGTCTGACAGCACAGCAGCGCGTCTTCTGTGGTTCATAAAGCCCGCTGGCTGCTGTAACATCCAGCTGTTTTGGGTCTAAAAAGCAAAGTAGTGTTCAGCTGCTTTTGTAAGGTTAGCTAACCTTGATGTGGAGATGATGCAACTCCTGTTGCAAAAGTTTTGGAGATAGAAAAAAATAACTAAAGGGTCTGCTCTGGAGGTCGTCTAATTCTTCTGAGGTGTTACAAAAGCAGATTATAAGCGCTCTGTCGCTTAATTTATATTCAAAATCTCTGCAGCGATGTATACAAAAGACCCTCCAGGATATTGGAGAGCATGTTGCTATGACATTGTGTCTGACAATATCACTTATTTGCATGAAACCATTTGCTATGGCAGAACAGAAATGCGTATAACAAGCAGAAACAAGAAGAAAAGCAGCTGTAAAAGTGCCTAAATCATCGTGTAAATTATGGTCAGTAACATTTCTGCCATACATTTCAAGGTTTCCTCCAGAAAACTTGCTAATCCCGATAGTTGGGCCGCTCAGCACTCATTCATCCAGCGGCCTGCTGTGTTTTTGAGTTAATTTTTTTTTTTAAATATCACTTCATAATTATGTGTTTTTGGAAAATTGCAAAAACACCAACTATAAAGTCCTTAAAAATAGAAACATTGGAAAAAAAAACCCTTAAATAAATAAGCTTTACTAAGCCTGGTGGGGGCACAAGTAAAGCCTGGTGGCCCACCAGGCCTATAATAAACTGAGAGAAACCCTGCATTTAAGTGAATTAAATTCACTTTATATATATATATATATATATATATATATATATATATATATATATATATATATATATATTAAGTTCTTCATATATATATATATATATATATATATAAGAAGAACTTAATTTGAAGTTCTGTTAAATGGTTATTGTTTGACTTCTGTTGTTGGGAGTAGCCATGTCACCTTTATGGATTTGTGTATAAAGCATAGACACACTATGTTTTGGTCAGTTTGCATAATGACACACATTTCCATTAACTTTATAATGTTTAATCCTTTTTTCCCCTTTTTCCTACAGGTGTGAAATGCCCCCATGGCGTCACCTGCCACCCCTTCCACTCCAGCTGCAGACTCCCAAACAAACAGGACTTCTATGAGACCCTGGGTGTCGCTCGGACTGCTTCACAGAAAGAGATCAAGAAGGCTTACTATCAGGTCCAAGACACATTCAGATGTTTCTTCTTCCCAGATCTGACTTTTATTCCTAATCTTAACACATTTAAATGTTTTGTGTGTGTTCCCTTTGTCCAGTTGGCTAAAAAGTACCATCCAGACACAAACCCAGATGACCCGGAGGCAAAAGAGAAGTTTGCAAAGCTGGCTGAAGCCTATGAGGTACAAAACTGTTTTTTTTTTTTTATTTGGTCCTGTGACTCAGAAGTGTTGGTGAATTAGTTTTGAAATTCAGTAATTCTGTCAGTATTGAGGTTCAGCTTAGCTAACCGATTTGTTTTCTGTAGGTGCTGAGCGATGAGGTGAAGAGGAAACAGTACGATACGTACGGAGCTGCGGGCTTCGACCTGAACCGAACCGGAGCGGGCCAGCAGCAGTACTACCGGGCGGGGGGGGCCACCATAGACCCTGAAGAGCTCTTTAGGAAGATTTTTGGAGAGTTTACGGGGGGCATGGGCTTTGGAGACTTCAGCAACATGTTCGACCAGCGGCCTGAGGTAATGCTGGAGTTATCGAGCTTATTTTCACTTAACTTTGATTAGTTGCATATTGCGACAGGTTTACCTCTAGGGAAGCCATTTTGTTTTTGGAGGTACTCACTGCGCTGCTGAGAAATTAGGAGCTGATAGTTCTGGGACAAAACTGATTGGGATCCAAAACTTTTGATAATTTCATTGTTTTCAAATAAATGTTTGCGTATTTTTTTTTTTTTTTGGCAAAAGTACAAGCTTAGTTTTATTATACCTCTAGCACATTCTCCAATACGTGGGAGATTAAATTTTTTTATTTTTTGAAAGAAGAGGCATCTTTTTTGCAATCCTACTGTCTAATCCAGACATATGAGGAAAATGGGAGTTTGTTTGTAAAACACAAACAGTATTTTTTCAGATTTAAAGGAGCAGCATCGTGCAAAATCGGCTGTTTTGAGCTTTACTTCATGTTATGATATTATTCCCTCATCAAAAACATACCTGGATTCTTTTATGCGTCTTAGAGAAATCCTTTAATCTCCCATGGCAACCAGTCAGCTGTGCAAAACGCCTGGGTGGACCTAGCCCCGCCTTCGAGGTCGAAGCTTCTCCTTGGAGCTGCAGTTTCTGAGCTTCTGTCTCAGTGAGCAGTCCTTCTCCTGCTGAACTCCTCCAGACTAGCCAGCAGCAGTTAGCAAACACCTGGTGGAACTAAGTGTCTGCTGACCTCATTATAGGAACTACTTCTCAGACCAATGCTGGTAAAAATGTTGTTAAAGTGTTAGTAGAGGAGCCATGTTCCTGATGGCGGCGTTTCAGAACGAGCAGGAGTTTTTTAAAGAGGCAGAGGCTTAATTTCAAATATGACTTAAAATTTCTTCTAAGTCATATTTGATATATGCAGCATTTATATAGCAACTGAAGGCAACATAGCTACTTGATTATGCTGTAAAATAACTGGAAAACACAATATTGTCCCTTTTAGTCACACTACAGCTTTTGCTAAAATATGTAAATGAGCAGATGCCATCAAAACTTTTCCAGGACAGCTGAACTTTAAATATTTTTAACAAAAAGTGTTTTTTAAGTTTGAGTTCAAAAATGTATGCTAATTAACAGTGTTGTGGTCAAAACCACCTAACCCGAGACCAAGACAAGACCAAGACTTTTGGCCTCTGGCCCATGGACTAGCATTCATCTGTAAAATTTGTTTTTATTCAAACTTCAGCAGTTTTCTAGTTGTTCTGCTGAGGTAGTGACATCAATTTGTGACATCACACAAATTGATGTCACAAAGAGAACAGAGAACAAAGAAAACAGAGCTGTAATGTCATAACCATTGCAGAAGTCGCAGAGCAAGAGGAAGGAGTGTCTCCTAAGAAGATTTTGGATTTGTCGAGACGACAAACTTCAGCTACAGACACAGAAGCTTCAAGCCATCTTGAAAGAAATATGTCGATGGAAAGTAAAGACCTCATGAAAGAACACGAGGATTTGAAGCTTGAAATCAAAAAGCTTCTTCAAAAAAACGATGAAAGCTTCAAAAAACTTTTTGAAGAAAACAGATGTTTGAAGGAGCAGAACGCCACCCTGGAGAAGGAAAAAACCACCATGGAGCAGAAATGCACTGCTCTGGAGAAGGAAAAATCCACCCTGGAGCAGAAATGCACTGACCTGGAGAAGAAAAATACCACCCT